GAAATATAACTCTATTTGAAAGAAAAAGTTTTGTCTAGGAGTTATTACTTTTGACATTCTTGGATGATGGAAAACAAATGGAATCAAATATTCAATTTTGTAAAAAATTGCTAAAGATGTTTTGATAATTCAATTTTTAATCATAACTTTAGAATTTGCATTTAACATAAAAGGTAGATTTTTGAGTCCTCGTTACTACATGCTTCATAAATTTACTTTAGAGACAATTATGTGTGCAAAAAGTTGGTTAAAATACAAGTAATAAAGTAATTTTTTATTGTTGATTTTAATTATTAATTTAAATTGTCTAATCATTTATTTTCTTGTCATGTAGTTTCTATGGGTATTACTTGGTCAAAACAATATATAAACTTAAAAGAAGCATTTGCAAAAATATGAAGAAATTGATTTTGGTGATGGAGTCAAATATCTACATATTTTTTTTAAAAAAATTTATACTATATAATTTTAATCTAACTAATTTCAATACAAATTTTTCCCGGATCTTAGAGAACATTATTAACACGTGATCATAATGTTGGAAATTTAATGACAACTTTTATTATGTTTTTTTTAAGTTTATTTACAAGGATTGAATATTTTAATCTTTATTTATAAGAATTTTTATGTTAATTTTTTGTAATGTTAAAGACTTAACAAATTAATATTTTTATGTTAATATTATCATTTTATTGATTTATTTATTTTATATATAAATAAAATGTGAGTCGTGAGTGCAAGTATGCGTACACAGGTACTCGGCGAGTACAAGAATGAGAATCAAAATTGTTATACGCAAGTATGAAATTGAGTACGAATATTATTTTTAAACACAATTATGAAGACATTTACTATAGAAGTCTACCTAGATCCTACCCATTGTATTCCTAATTCTCATTCTTAATACAAAAACAATTCTCATATTGATAATAAAATATAAAATATAAATTAATGAATAAATATGGAGAGACATTACTTTTTTATTTATTTATAGAAATTGAACTCATTTTAAAATATTTATAACAATTAACGGTTTTACATTTAAGTTTTAGTAGTATTTTTTTTATATTTGAATATAATAATTTATTTTTATAATATTTAGTTTAACAAAAATTATGTTCTATGAATAAATAATTTTTTATTGTCAACTTTAAGAAATTATTTGAAATATATTTTTGCTTTTATTTTGATTTTTTTTTTATCAATTGGAAAAAACATTTATGACTGTCCAAAATTACTATTATAATCCGTAAAAAAAGTTGCAGCATACAAATTTTAAAGGAAGCCATATTCATGAAGTGTGACTTACTTATATGGGTAAATTTTTAAAAATCACATCAACTTAGTAATTTTAAAAACAAACTACACTAATTTGATAAAAAGAAAAAAAATTATTGTCACTGCATATCATGCCTAGATTTGCTCAAAAGTACGTCTAATAGATGTATAATCCATTTTTTCTTATTTTGTCTAATAGAAAAAGAATCATGGATATTAATACTTATTCTATAAGATTATAACCAAAGTTTTAGAGAAAAGATATAGTATAATGATTTGTGATCTTTCAATTAGCACAAGTATCTTGTGATAAAAAAGCTTTAAACAACATCCACAGAAGAAACAAACAAGCAAGTAAAAGGTAAACAGAAAGTTGAGCGGGAAAACAAACAATGCAATGACAGCCAGGGTTCTAAATCAACGCTATCTCCTAACTACTCTCTTAGCTAGAAGTGGGTAACTGTGGAATCTGATCAATTTGTTTTGAAAATTCAGCTAAAGGCTTGTGTTTTTTTTCTTCTGTCTTTGCTTTTGCATGGGATTGAGGACTAATTTATTTCTCATTATTCCCTAATTCAAGGGGGGAAGAAACTTCCTCAATCTGGACACTAAATTCCTAACTTGTAGCCTGCTAGCACAAATCCTTCTCTGACAAGGCATCTTTAAACAGTGATGTTAGACATAAAAACAAATAACTATGTGGCTCACAGGATGCCAACAAGTGATATCAAGCACAAGGAAAGAAGTTACTATTAGTGGATCCAAAATTAAACTTTGTTAACCATATAAAAATTACAGTATATCATTAATGTTACATTCAATGAGAGGGTCCTTATGTTATATTTGAACTGGCATGGATAAACATTGCCAAGGTGAGGGAAAGA